ACCGCGTCCAGGTGGGTCTTGAATATCTCCAGAGAAGGAGACTCCACAACCTCCCTGGGCAGCCTGTTCCAGTGCTCCGTCACCCTCAGAGGGAAGAAGTTCTTCCTCATGTTCAGACGGAACTTCCTGTGCCTCAGTTTGTGCCCATTGCCCCTTGTCCTGCTGCTGGGCACCACTGAGAAGAGTCTGGCCCCATCCTCCTGACACCCCCCCTTGAGATATTTGTAAGCATTTATTAGGTCCCCTCGCAGCCTTCTCTTCTTCAGGCTGAACAAGCCCAGCTCCCTCAGCCTCTCCTCGTAGGAGAGATGTTCCAGTCCCCTCCTCATCCTCGTAGCCCTCCGCTGGACTCTCTCCAGTAGCTCCTCATCTTTCTTGAACTGGGGAGCCCACCCAGCCAACCCCTGTAACCTGAGCATGATGTCTATAGCATGGAATATTTCCATTGGCCAGCCTGGGCTGTCTGCCTGGCTGTGCTCCCTCCCAGCTCCGGCACACCTGCTCATCAGCTGAACATGAGAAACTGGAAAAAGTCCTTGATTTCTCAGCAGCAACTGAAAACATCAGGGTTATCAACATTCTCATCATACTAAACCCAAAACACGGCAGCTACTGGGAGGAAAATTAACTCTATCCCAGCCGAAACCAGGACAATATTTAAGCAATTGAAAGGAATAAACACTTAGGAATGACAGAGTACACCCAGGTTACAAACTGACAGGCTCTGCCACCAGAGCTTGTGGGGCTGCAGGGGTTTGGGTGGGTTTTGTTTTTTTTTTTTTTTCTTCCCCTTTCCCTCCTCTCCTTCCTTCACTAACAGCAACGCAGGATTAGAGATTTCCTCCTAGGCAAAGGACAAAAGATCTACATAAAAGTTTTGTTGACTTCTCTGTCTCACTATAAACCTCTCAAACGAACAAGCTTCTCCTACTTTGACACGCACGTCTGCAAAACTTTTAACAAGACCAAAGGGCGAATGCATATACATGCAGTTTTTCTAAAATTCAAGTTGTTCACTATCTTAACTACCATCACCACCACCCACGTACAAACACACGGTAGTCAATGAATGCAAAAAATCCAATCCCACCAAAACACTCCCACGCTCTTGCAAAGTACTGGAACTCAGTACCTTTGTGTCTCTTTAGCAAACTGCGCTCCAGACTTCAATCTCACTATTTCAGTTATAACTGATTTCCAAGCAAGAATACAAATACTGTGTGGCTGAGAAAAACAAAAAACACCACCACCACAAAACGAAAAGCCAAACCAACCCCCACACCTACACCAAACCCCAGACCCAGCCAACAATGCTGTCAGGAGAAGAACCAGGTCTCAGGCCTGCCTGACCTTTTCAAAGAGGGAACAGTTCACAGACCTGCATCTCACACTCCAAATCCCCCCTGCAATACTGTTTTGAACTGAAGGCTCCCGTAGCGTTCCACATTTGGAGGCTAGGTGTGAAGTCACACTGTTTTGTTTAAATTATTTTTTAAATCAGTGCCTCCCCCCCTCACACCCATTTCCCTTTAACCTTTATTTATTACCTGATGCGAAGGTCATCATCTTCTCCACCCCAACCCCAGTAGCTGTTTGAGAATCCATTCACCTTGGAAAACTGCTCTCTTGTTAGAGCAGTTACACCTCCAAAATATCCCTGGTACCGTAACCTAGAAGTACACAAGAAGGGAGAATGAAGAATTAAAAGTCGAGTTCTACCAACAATGAAAACATCACCCAGAAACTCCAGATCTAGACCTGTCTTTCACAGAATTAAGGGTGCACAACTCAATGAGGAAGGTCTTGTTTTCTTCCTCTTTTCACAAAAAAAGATGGTGATTTGCTTTAGGCTGGGACTCTCCAACTGAGAGAACGCAGCCTTCTTCAGTGGTTTCCCTCTCTCTTTACATGACTCCCCTTGCCAGCCAAAAAGGCCCTTCACCTCCAGGACTCTGATGAGCAGAAAAGGAACAAAGCTACACACCAATACAGCGGAAGCTTTGCGATGCCAGCACCCCATCCACTGTCTTTGAGCTGAACCTGAAAAACTTGGAAGGAAATCAGATCACAGCAAGGGGGAAAGTGCTCTGGGACACTGCAGGACCGATTCCAAGGCAAGGCACAGTGCAAGTTACTCAGTAACCCAATGTAATGAGCTCAGCTCTGAGGGGGATTAGTTTCTGACTTCTACCTTCCTTCACCCGGAAACTGCATCTACTTTAAAAAGCTACCTCCATACCATGCTTATTTATCTTATCATACCATTTTGCTAATGGCTTTTTGTGATACTTTCCTCCATCTTGGCCCTTTAAGGTAAGCGTTACAAGACAGCCTCTACTCCACAGCCACTGCCCTCCTCAGAGGCGATCTGCACGTGGCTGCAGACTGCATTTCCATTTCGAGATGTACGTGAAGCTGAAGAGACAAACAAACTGCCAGGGCCAGGAAGTATCCGTTATGGCAATTTACATGCCAGGCAAGCAAAGGGGCAATGCTTATTATGATTTCTGGTTTACCATGAATCAAATTTAACACACACACCACCACCCACCACCACTCCCCCCAAGAAAAAAAAAAACAACCCCAACACCCCA